GGATGTGCCCCCGTGTGTGACGTGCGGACATCCGTGTGTGCAGAGGCTCCCATCCCAGGCTGCTCAGTGGGACCGTGTTTGCGGGGACAAGAGCACCCTGACTGCCCGGCACACGTGGAGGGGACTAGAGCCCACGTGGGGCCGTGGGCAGCTGATCACGAGACTCTTGCCCGCGTGCAGACGCAGGTGCAGCCCTGCCCGAGCCGTGCAGAGAAGGGGGGGAGCAGAGCAGCGGGTGGCGTGGGGTCGGGCACAGGGAGACACACATAGGCGCCTGTCCGTGCAGAGACCCCCTCCGGAGGGATACACACGAACCTGGAACAGCACCGGCCTGTGGGAAGGGCAACTGGGCAGCGGGGCTCAGAGGTTGGGGAGAGGATGCATTTCCATCTCCAGCGCCCCTCCTTTACTGCAATGCAGAATCTGCTTAACGTTTAACACAATTTAAAAGCTGCTGAGTGTGGCTGAAATACAACCTTCTCATCCTTGGAATGGGGACAACACTCTGCAACCCGCCACCTCAGTGGGTTGTCCTGGGCTCCTTAGACGCTCAGCATCTGACGGAGCAGCTGAAATGTAGGGAATGGGAATCACGTTCATGGCGAACGTCTGGTCTCGGGTGAGCAAGTGGCAGGTGGATCCCGCTACCTGTCAGTTCCCCCCAGGCCCTAATACAGTGAGGACGGCGACAAGGAAACGCTTACTGTGGGTGATTTTCCTGTGTCGTCACATTTAATCCTTGCAGGGGCCCCGTGGACACACTCAGCTCTCGTCCCCGTGCTTCCCGTGCGGGACCTCGAGGCTTAGTTCAGGAAATCGCCCAAGGCCGCTCAGCCAGTAAAGGGCGGATCTGGAACTTGAACCCAGGTCTGTCTCACCCCAGAGCTCACGCCTCGGGCACCTGCTGGCCAAGAGCCCAGGCCTGGATCCCCAGGAGCCCTCACCCGGTCCACATGGGGTGGGGACCATGCTAGCTGGGCTCCTGCCTCAGTTACCTGGGGCTGTCAAAAGAAGACAGCATTCATCCTCCCACCTTTGTGGAGCTTGTGGGGGGCTGTGTCCGGGCCTCACCCCTCCCTCCCTGTTGGCCAGAGGCTGCCCTCCGTCCTTCCCCAGGGGGGTCTCTCCACTGGCCGCCCACAACACAGTGGAGGTCTTCATCAGAACGAGCAGGAGACAGGGTGACAGCAAGACCCTCTCACACCCTTGTAGGACCTGCTGTCCCTGAGGGCCATCCATCACGTTGGCAGCACTTGGCTCCTTAGAAGCGAGTCCCCGGGGGCAGCACCCAGTCCAGGGACAGAACTTGCACGGCCTGTGGGCAGGAGGGGTCTCTGCAGCCCCGTGAGAAGCTGTCTCCTGCAGAGATGCACTCGGTGTGGACCGAAAATGTGCTCGTGCTTCGGATCCCAGATCTCCTGACATTCATGCTCTCACTGTTAGGGGTCAGGACACTGCAGGGGAGCAAGTTCACGCGACCCGTTCAAGGGACGCTCCCCGGGGACCTGGAGGGATTCCAGCCTCACCTCAGGTTCATGGCACCGTCCTGCCTTCCAAGACTCAAGGGGAGCACATGGGATGGATTTCATGAAGAAGATGGGTTCTAGGGTTTTCTCCTTTCTTCCTAATGAAAACCACTCACATTTTCTGTGTCCTATATCCTAGGCATCTGCAGCGCTGTGACCCAGAGTGCTGGAGCCCATGGTTCTGGAGTTGAGGATTCTGGAATCTCTGTTTCTCTGAAGGGGATTCAAGGAGGTTCTGTGAGGTTTCATGTGATCAGAAATCCAGAATTACCTCCAGAGGTCGAGCTGGAGAAGATTGCTTGGGGCATTGTATCCAGGGCCAACTACATAGTCATGCTGCAGGTGTTTCCTGGGAGAGATGTTCCAGAATGGGTCAACTTCCGGGACAAGTTTGAGAAGAGGGTCCATGTGCTCAACATAACGACCCTGAGGATTGACAACCTGACCCTTGAGGACAGTGGGCGGTACCGGGCTCGAGAGTCCTACAGGAGAGGAAGGGAATATGACCTGGATTTCCACCTGAGGGTCTATGGTACGTTTCTACTTGCGAGGACCCTGTGATCACATGGGGCCCGTCTGGGGATTCCAGACCAGCTCTACTTTAGAGTCAGCTGGTTCACAGCCTCAGTTTCCCTTTGCCATGGAACTTAAGACACCTGCCGGGTGAGGGTCAGCACGTGGCCAGGGTTGGGGGATAGTCGCACCGAGAAGGATTCAAATCCCCCCTGTGTTTCTCCGTGCCCCGTCCGCCCTTCCTTCTCAGCCCCAGCCCGAGCCCACCTCACTCTCAGAATCCTCGGGTCCAGCTCTGAACCTCCAGTGATGTAGGAGAAGTTCACAGAACAATCCTTCCTCAGACACTCAGTGAGCAGCTCTCTCTCCCTGCCCCGCCCCCCCGCCCCAGCACAGGGAGACATGCTGCTCCCAAGATAGTGGCCTTTGCAGCCTCAGGTCCGGGAGATTCCCAAGACTGACTGTCAGTCTGTCCCTTGTCTTTCTGGGTGGACCCAAGTTCAGAGCATGATGTAACCACACTCAGGGAGGCCATTTCTAGGAACCACCACTGTGTCCCCCACCACAGTCTCTCCTGGTTGGAGTCTGGGGCTATTTCTGGGCTCCCAGAACTGTCCAGTGGCTTTCTGCCCTAGGGACTGTGCAGTTGGGCACCATCCCAATAGGAGAAGCAGGGCCAGGCCCTGGACAAGGACAAATCTTGTTGCAGACTTCTTCTTCTAGGGGACACCCCACACTCTTAGAATTAGTTGGTTATGGGTAGGTGACTCCAGCAGTAACTTCTCAAGGGAGATTTTTAAGACGTGCTCAGTCTAGTGAAATCACATAGAGCTTAATTAACTCAGTGGCTCCCATCCTTATTGTCACCTGCTGTGTATTTGGGTCATTTCTGAGTTATCTGTAAAATACTTCACCATCCTTAGGGGGAGGAAGCCAGAGCTTCAGGGAGATACCGCAGGAGAAAGCATGAGCTTGGATGTTCTCCACTCACGTGATGCTCTGCCCTCTTGTCCCTCCCGCCACAGAGCCCATGCCCCTTCCCCAGATCCGGGGCACCGTTCTGTCCCTCACACCAGCCTGGTGCAACGTCACTGTGGAGTGTGACACCACAGGAACCAGGGAGAACCGGACTGTGTCCTGGGAGAGCGAGGGTCTCTCCAGGGAGCTGGAGCAGAGACCCTCCCCAGGACCAGCCCCCAACTATTGGAGCCTGGCTGTGAACCTGCCCCTGACCCAGCCCAATTCCAGCCTCACCTGTGTGGTCAGCAACCAGGTGGACCAGAAAACTGCCACCCGGGACCTTGGGGACGTCTGTGGCCACGGTGAGTGCATCCTGCCAGAGGGGAGGGGCTCTCTGGGAGCTCAGACAACCCTGGGTGAGGGTTCTGTCTTCTGTCCCTCATTTTTATGTCACCACCTGCCACCTGGTCACTCCATCCAGGACTCTGGTAGGCACATCTAACCTGCTACTGTCCTTCGGGTTCACTCCCGTGCTGATCCCCACCCCTCACCCCTGCTGGTCCAGGCAGCACCCAGCAGTTACATCTTCCCACCCTTATCCATCATTCCTTATCTAGGGTGGTTTTCAGGAGAAGCGAGTTGGGGGTGTCAGTGGACTGTGCCATCTGAGGGGTCTGAGCCCTCAGTGAATCAGGATTCAGGGCTCGGGGCTCCCCTGCCCGTTTCTGGTCTCACAGACACACTTCACACCCACCTGCTTGCCTGCATTCCCAGCTGGGTCTTGCTGTCCTCAGCTTCCAGCCTCGGCTCAGGCCCCTCCCTCTGCCCTCAGCCCTTCCAAGTCAGGAGACCTCCACTTCCCTACTTATTCCCATCCAGGGACCCCTTCCCTGCAGCTGGCTCTGGAGCCTGTGACCCAAGCTGTCCCACAGGGCCGCGCGCTGGGTGCAGTTCCAGCAAGAATAGAGTTTGCACAGGGGCTCCTCAGCCTGGGTGGCTCAGGGCCCTGCAGGAGCTGCCACTGTCCTGCCCTCACACCTCGTCTCCTCTAAGGAGCGGTCAGTGACCCCACACTGAGAGCTGATGCTCTGGCCCAGGATTAGTCTCCTCTGCAGCCTGAACCCCTGGAGGGCAGGGGCCATGTCTGCTTCTACTTTGAATGCCTGTCCCACCCTCGGCCTCGGGCGGTTTGCTCACAGTCAGTGTGTCCCTGAATGAATGAATGAATGAATGACCTGGTTCGTCATGTGCCCCCTCGTCCCTCCACCCCCTCCTCCACCAGCTGCTGGGGGACCTGCTGCCTCAGCATCCCTGATCCCAGAGGAAGCCCATGGCTCAGTGACCCCCTGGACCCTCTGGACAGAGGCTCCTGCCTCCCTCTCATCCTCCTACCCGGCTCCTCCCTGCCTGGTCCCTCTCCCGCCTGCCCCAGGGGGTGCAGGCTGCTCCCAGGGCTGGAGAGTTGACCCAGACATTCCTGTTCATGGCTCTCCTTCTGGGAGGCCACACCCACCCTGAATATCGGGGAATCTCCTACTCCTCCCTCGAGACAAGGTTTCCCCATCACCTCCTCCAGGAGGCCCTCCCTGAGGACCCGGGTACAAGCTGTAAAGCTCTTGTGCCCTGGC